ATTAAAAAGAGGATACTTTAATTAATAATTGGTGATATTTCCACAAGGATCCTTTAAGAAATGAATTTTATAGCAAATTTTAAAAGTTATCGATGAAAATTGCAACATCGAAAATTTTATCAAAACTTCAAATATTGTTTTCTCAAAAACTAAAAGTTATTTTTCAAAACGTGTTGGTTCATTGGAAAGAGGACACTTTTATTAACACTTTGGGAAATTTTCATACTCATATTCCAAGAACTGGATTTTATACGAATTTTTAAAACTTAATCGGCGAAAATTAGAAAATTCGAAAAAATTGTTGATTATTTAAAAAATGGATTTCTCAAGAACTAAAAGCGATTTGTCAAAACAGCTTCGTGCATTAAAAAGAGGATATTTTAATTAATAATTGGTGATATATCCACAAAGAAAATTTTAAGTAGGGATCTGTAATTTTCGAACTTTTTAATCATGGATAACTTAATTTTTTTAAATGGAACAATATACCAGTTTTTGCATAACTGGATGTAAAATTTAATTTCCTTTCAGTTTTATACAGGTATCATGGTGTCTATCTTCAACGGATTTGGAGATATTCCCGATTTTTCAGTTTTTTACGATAGATATGTATTGCGAAGTAGGCTTAGGACTGGTAAAATGGAAGGTGGTCGACGCTTTGCAATACTATTAAAAGTTGAAGTAGGCCTGGAAAACAAACTAGGTAAACTGTCATTAGTGTTCCACGCATTAAAACTGGTTTTCAAAGTATTGTTTGTTAACATAATAATTAAAAATATTTAAAATAACAAAGTTGATATCCAATAAAAATATCAAACAACTGGTTGCCATGGTTACGCATAGCTACTGCTATTTTTCTACCTCAAATAAATGGAAAATCATGAAACTTTAAGACAATTTTTCTCGACAATTTTCTTATGCAACTAATATTAATTGTGGTTGTACCAAATTCAGAAAAAATCCTTTTTCATATTCCGTAATAAAAATGGGGGATTGCTATTTAAAAAAAAAAATAACGATGACGTCATAACTAGCTTAAAAAGTTTGTTTAAAAATTTAAAATCTGTATCAAAAAATTGTACAAAATTTAAATCCTTAGATCCGTCTCAGTGATTTTTCTATAAACCGTTTTTAATTGTTTTAACGAATTTATCCGTTACTTTTGGGAAGCACTGTACAGGGTGGTTCAAATTCGATGTCCGAATAGGCTAACTCGGAAACTATAAAAGTTAGAAAAAAAGTAGCTTACATGTCATGATCTCGTTTTTCGAGCAACAGCTAATGCCGAAAACCTCATAGCGCTATCGTCTTTTGTTTTTCCGCTAGAGGCCAAAATTGAAAATATCGTAAAACCAGCAAGTGCAATTATCTTCGTTATTATTATAGGTGGAGTATTATAACTAAGACATTATATGGACACTTTTTTATAGAGAATTGGATGACGTAGTCAAAAAAATTTTTTCGGTTTTAGATTTTGAGATATTATCACAATTTTCGTTTTTTTAAATGGAAACAACCACTGATTATTCGCTTATTAAATTCGTTATTTTTTTCTGATTACAAAAATATAGGGTTCGACAGGTCTATTTCTTATTGTTTTAGAATAAAGCTAAAAATAAACNGGGGTCTCGAAAATCGCGTGCACGTGCCCCGAGAACACTTTTTTTTATTTTTGCTTTCCCTTTTTACCGGTAACCATCGTTAGATTCTTTCAATTAAAAACAAACTAAAAGAATTGATATCGATCTCGATTCACGTTTCCTTATTGCCACTATGAATTGAATCGACAACGAAGTCCGTCTGGCATGACTCGAATCTGGGTTAGATAGGCATCGACCTTGCGTCAAGGTCAAGATTTCGATAGAGGAAAATTGCTCCGGGTCATTGCCTGATAACCTTGCGACATCTGGAATTGTCTCGCGTTCTTAGAAGCACGTTTGCAAAGTTGTTTTCAAAACTTGCTGCTTTAAAATACAACATACCAAGAATTATAAATCTTTCTTAAAAAATTCGAACATCTTTTTACATCCTGTAGAATTTAATGAAACTCAATTTTGCAAAAAAATAAAGTCTAAAATAAAGTTCAATAACAAACTAGAAGCTAAAAAATAATAAACAAGATTTTTTAGTTTGTTATTGACGTAAGTTCCTGATGATGATTTTGTAAAATCGAAACCGGTTGAACTTTATTTTAAAACTATATCTACCCAAAAAAGTACAAAATTGAGTTACATTAAAGACAAAATTAAGTACAATATTAATGAAAATTATAAAATATTTTTTATAAATAATTTATTTCGATTATTTATAATTTATACAAAACAAAAATTGAGTTACGAGTGATTAATTGATTAATAAAAGTGTTAGTGTAGTGATTAATCCAAAATAACACATTGTTATTTTGGTAGATAACCATAAACCATCAAAAAAGGTGAATCGATCCAATTCAACAACGAAGAAATCAATCAGAAATAAATACGTCGTAGATGGTTTCGTATATCACACAAATTTAATTTCGGGACATCCACCTTTACGGTAAATATTTAAAATTAAATCGATTTTATTATTAAAATTTAATTAAAACGATTAAAAGATATTTGGGATGTGCCGAAACGAAGAGATTGGGGTGTAGAGCTCGAGCAATTATGCCGTTAAACGAGAAAATGGGCCAAATAAAATTGAAACAAGGACACAATCATCCGAGAGATATAAACGCGGAAGAAAAAGTACAATTTTTGAAAGAATTAAAACGCGTTGTGGTTCACATGGGGAAATCGACGTTAAGACACGTTTACGATACAGTTTCGAAAATGTAAGATCCAAAATGGACAAAATGGGATATTATTTTTTGTTTTGTAGTTATCCGAATGCTGCAGAAGAAATTCCTTTTAAGTCAGTTTGTTCGTCGTTACATCGATGGAGGAGATCAAGACGAGGAAATTATATCTACGATGATTTAGATTAATTGTTTAAGATCGTTTTAATAAAAATTGAGTTTTTTTAATCTATTTCTTTATTTTGTTGATTTAGTTTTTTAATTATCGCTAAGAAAAGTGGTTAAAATACAAAAGTGAAATGTGGTTTTATTGTCTAGTGTCTCGGAAAAAGAAGCAAACTCGTAGGATACGTAAAATTGTACATGGAGGGTTTTTCTACAACATCAGTACAACTAGGCTCCGAAATAGACGGTATGTTATTCAGTTTTATTAGTTAATTATAAATATAGCTTAAAAGTGGCAGTTTAAACGTCAAATTTGACATTTAACTTTGACAGTTCATAATGAAATAAAATTTTGTGAAAATTAATGTTTTTACTGAATGAAATGACACTACAGGTCTTAAGTAAGTTTACTTATTCAACTTAAAAAGTTAAAAATCGTCAATTAAAAGTGAAAAATGCAATATGATCTGGAATTACAATCCCCATAAATTGTAGACCTGTCCATTTTTATGACAGAACGCTGATGACAGCTATCACAAGCACAGAAGCCGCTTGGTCACTCGTTACGTTTTACGATTATACAGGGTGTTTCTGTAAGTCGTGGCATAAATATATAATTTATGCCACGAATAAGTCGTGTAAAAATTTTTGAAGAAAATAATGTGGAGTTTGATTTTGTACTTTTAAGCTGGTTTTTATTTTATATAGAATTTAAGTCTAACCAGTTTCGTCCCTTGGCCATCTTCAGAGACTCTACAAATAGATTAAAGTTTAAAAACTTGTAAAATGAAATTAAGTACGAAGTGTTACACGTTTACAGGTTAAAATTTAAGAACGCTCTTTTTTAATAAAAAAAATATTAAGAAACTTGCGAAAAATTCAAGAATTATCATGTGGCTTAAAAATCGACGATTTTTCGTAAATCAATGTAAAATGACTCAAAAAACAGGTTAAAAATAAAAAGAAAGTGCGGAAAAGTGACTAACTTCAGTTATAAAACTTCTATTATATGATAATTTGACATATTTGTAATCATCGTGAAAAATCCTTTAAAATAAGTCCAAACATGATAAACGTATCATTCCAATATTACTCGAGATATAAGCAACTTCCGATTTGAAATGTCAATGTCATTTTGACATATTATTAATTTTTATAAAATGTCTTAATATTTGTCACATAAACAAAAATAATATAATAAAAAAAAATAAAAAATTAAGGTTGGTATTAATATTTAAAAATTAAATTGCTATTTTCAATGTTGCTAACTTCGGGTTTAATGTTTTTTATTCCAACTTTTTTGTTTTTTAAGATAAGTGCGTTATCTTTGGACTCATTTTAAACGTTTTTTAATGAAGATGACAAATATGTCAAAATTGACGTTGACGTTTCAAACCGGAAGTGATTGTATCTCCATTGAAATTAAAGTTAAATATGTCGAATATAATAATAAAATTAAACACGTTGTCCATGTTGCAAGTTATCTATTAATTAAATAAATAAGGAATAATAACCTCTTACTTGCTTTTATTATATTTTATTCGAAACTAGTTTCGAGGTACAAACCTCATCTTCAGTCGAACTACAAAGAAATCAAATAACGATTATAAACAAAATTGTTACAAACATGTTAAAATGACCACAATTAATATATTTGTCCACGACTACCTTACAATATATACCTTATGCATGAGTTTTCTAAAACAAAATGGTAGTCATTTTTCACGGAGTGAATAATAGCGGTGAATAATAATCATTATTCACGGGTAGCCATCTTAGCCAGACTAATAATAATTATTTGAAACGTTAAAAGTTCAAAAAACGTCAATTTAATTCAATTTTTTAGGAGTTTCTAAATGTTTGACATTAAAAAAACCTAAACAAATTCGTTTTTTCGTATGATTTAAGCATAAATTAATTAATTTTCCTAAAGAAAACGACGTTTTATAAAACTGACACTTAATTTTGACAAATTGTTGTGAAGTTGGTTACAGTTAGTAACATTGAATTTGTGTCACATTGACGTTTAACCTTTATTCAAAAATTTATTTGTGCCAAAAAATTGTTTGATT